AATTATTTTTGTGCATTATTGGATCTCAACTTTGCCTTGGCCCACATGGACAGAAAAAATGACTCAGTTAACAGGGAACGCAAGAAAACCATGACGATGATGGCAATGAGAACATCACCAAACAAAAGGTTTAATGAGCAAAACGGTTGCTGTGCACATGGGTTATAAATCTTTGTACATTTCTTTGCTGTCCTCTGCAAAACAAGAATGTGAAATGACCAAGTTCTGTGTAGTCTGAGGAATGCTGACACTGGCAGCTAAGTTTTTGTATGTGCATTTAGAATTGAACACTGCCATTGCATAGTTAGCCACCTTTTGAGAGCCATTGGCAAACTGAACAGATCTAACAATTGCAAATTTTTTAGGTAAAATATAAATTCACTTTTGAATAGGCATCGTCCTCGCCTTCACCATCGTCATTGCTTAACTTCCCTTATAATCCATATCAGGACTTCACACCAGGTAAATAACAACTGTAGTAAGTTCTGCAGTACGTCATGTTTCTTGAGTGTCAATAACCATTGTCAACTATGTTTTCCCTATGATGTAGTTCCAATGTCTGGCCCAGAGAGTGGAAGTTTTTACAGGCCACAAATTGACCAAGCCAATCTAAAGGTGAGGACCACAGTCTTTTTTTCCTTCTTTTATTACAAGATCCAATCACGCAGGCGCTATGTTGTACTGGTAGTAAATAAGGTCATGCCATGATGTAAAGATCATCCTTTACAGTCAAAAGGAGAGAAAAGCAGTCTTTTAAGGTGATTGTAATTGCATCAGTCAATTTCCATGACTGTAACAAAAAAAAAAACATAAAATGTAAGGGCATATGGATGGCAAGGTTGGTTATTGTAGATTGTACACCTTGTATATTTGTTACCAGTAAGTTGGGTAATTAAAGGTGGGAAGGCCAGTGATGTAGTTTGCATGGTAAGTAATACAGGCTCAAAAAAAGTGCTGTCTTGTTGGGGAAACTAGATTCTCCTCCTGGGCAACTTTTCATTCTCAATACAGGCTCAAAAAAAGTGCTGTCTTGTTGGGGACAACTAGATTCTCCTCCTGGGCAACTTTTCATTCTCAATTNGCCCAAAGGGCAAGGGATTAGGCAAACCGTCTACCAACTAAATCAATAAAACAGCAAACTTAGAAATAGGTCACTTTCAATAAATTAAAATTCAGCTTGATGGTGAAGTCTAGAGGACACAAACAAAAGAAAGGAATAAGCATCTCATTCAATTCCTTTCGTTTGTGTCCTCTAGGCCTCACTGCCAAGCTGAATTTAAACATACCAAAAACAGTCTATTGCCTAGGGTAAGCAAAATTTGAGTCCTACTTGTCCTAAGAGCAAGCTGGAATTCAATTTCTTTTTGAGCCCTGTAATATAGGTGGTAATGTAGTTGGTAAAATCAGTAATGTACATGTAGGTGTAAGTTTGGTAATGTATGTAGAAAGTGTAGGAATGTAGGCAAGGTTGCTAATTTAGGTAGCAAGGTCAATTTTTACAGAAAGCAGCATGACAGCTGACTAAATAATATTCCACCTCATGCTTGACATTGATTGCATAGCATCATTGATTTGCTCTGTTTTATCTCAAATTCTTAGGTTGGAAAGCCTCTTCAGAATCGCCCAATAGCTCCAGCTTCTGGTTCACTTGCTGGAATGCTTCCTAGTCATCTGGCACCGAGTCTTGTAGCAAATAGCATGCAAGGCTTTAGTGCAGGCCATCCTCTTATAGCTTCAATGATGAGGTTTCCGCCACCTGCATTCTCTCATGTTCCTGCAGGGGCTGCCGCTGGTGCACTTGCTGGGGTGACACCCAGGAATACTTCTTTACGCAACCCAGCAATGCCCCCTACTGTTAAACCTGCAGGACTAACCAGTCAAGCTCATGGCAGTGGAGGTCAATCACAAGCACATGCACCTGTGACAACAAGCTCTTCATGTCCGTCTTCTTCTGGGACATCTACTTCTCATGTGGCTACCGTAGCAGTAGCTACATCCATGCATCAGCCAGGAACAGAACACAAGGCTGGTGAAATGCGTGAGCCGAGACCAAATTTGATGTCTGATTTGGCAAGGAGAGGGGCATCACCAACTGTCCAGCCTTTAGCTGCAACCCACCCTCCTGCTTCTGTCAGCAACAAAGTCATTTCCATTGTGCCATCAGCTTCTCTTCCTCAAAGNCAGCCATAATTGTTGTAGCAAGAAACTATTCCCTCCACAGGACGAAATGGAAATGGCACTTATATATAATGTTTTATGATAAGTGATGTTTCAAGTCTTGCTGTGGACTTGACAGTACACTGTTAGCAGAAGAGAGTTATACACAATAATTGTTTAATACTTTCAAGTACGTGTAAATGCTGTGTTTTTTTTTTGTTTTGTTTTTTTTTCATTTGCAGTTGTTGGAAATGAAAGTCGAATGGACAGGTAAGGGATTAGATTCAGTTTGTTTCAAAACCATTGATGTTGTATAATGTTATCTATTTGTCTATTTTTATTTTTATATTTTTATATGTGTAATACATGTACATGTTACTGTAAAATAGCTGGTGAGCTGTTGCAGCCTTCACCCTCTTTGTCAGGGCTATGGCAGCTCATCTGCAATTGTATCTCATTTCATCTCATCTTATTGATCAGTCAGGATCTCTTTGATATGACTGTGATTTGTGGTGACATCTCTGTCAACAAAACCTTTTTCTAAACTTCAGAGCACATCAAGCAATACCACAGTTTCCATATCACCCTGGAATGGCTGGCATGGCAGGAATGGCTGGTCTGTTTTATCAGGATGCATTAGGTTTGTTGCATAAGGTGGTTCAGACTTTCAGTGCCTGGTTAAAAAAGCAATTCTCCATCATGATTGATTCAGGGTTGTGACTAAGCACTGGCTGGCGGTGAAACATGCCGGCTGAGAAAGAGTTGATTGCCGGCTGGATTTTGGTGGGTGGTCACTTGGTAAAGAACAACAAAGGGTTTTTAGGTTATGCACATACAATCATTCCATTTCTGAACCATATTGAACCGTCTAAATGACAAGTTTGGAATCAATTCCTGACTACCTTGAGTATCGGTGCCACTATAAAGAGTAAAGTAATTGAAATAAAATCTTGTTTTGAGCACTTGTTCAGGGTGTTCTCTTTCTGTGTACTGCATCTGCCATCTTGGGAATGCGAAGCTTGGTAGCCCGGCATTCAAGGCATTGCAAAAGATTGGGGATGAAAATTTTGCTCCAGGTATCTCGTCAAAAATGATCACTGGCTCAATGAGAATCTTAGCCGAGAGACTATTTGCTCAGCTACAACCTTTGTGATTTGGGTTTAACACTGGAAATTTTAGGAAAAATGTATAAGCTCATCAGCAGTTTTGCCACCAGAAATGTTGCAGTCTTCAAAAGCCAGTATCTCCTTCAATATTACACCCAAAGAGGAGAAAGTTTAACCAATTATCAGGTTTCACAAGCCTCTCTGTTCAAATTTTTGAAGTCAATTTGAATCTTTTATGATGCCTTCTCTATGAAAAGTTGTAAACTATGTTCAATGTCAGCAAAGATCCCCATTTTGCAAACAGAAATTAGATGTATATCTACCCACAGAATTCCTAAGAACTGTTTGCATGCTGTCTTTCTCTTTGTATACCACAGTACACCCAGGTCTTCATGCACAGTACCACCCACCAGCCTTTGGTCCAATGCAGTCTCTTGCTAGGTCGCAGAGTGTTGCTACCTCGGCAGCAGCAGCAGCTGCAGCTCAAGTCGCAGCGGCAGCGGCAGCTGGAGTAAATCCCATGCAGATAATGGATCACCCAAGACTCATTTTTCAGCCTTCAGCCGCTGCACTAGGTGTGGGAGGTATGTTTTGGTGTGATTAATGTTCATTTCTCTATGTGCTAGGACTTTTATAAAGTGGAGTTACCGTGCAANACAGGGAAATATTTGGCCCGTGATCATGGGGTATGGACCTTACTTCATTCGGGCTGTGGAAAATGACCATGAACCATGGTAAACCAGCTGTGAACTGATATAATATCTAGATGAAAGGGAACTGGAAATCTTTGTCTCAGATTAAGGCCCCGACCACATTAATGCATACTTTTTGATGCGTTTTCGCCTATCGTCCACATCAAAACGCTTGAAAACGCTGATGAAAACGGAGGCTTTCGAAAACGGTTTCGAAAGTGGAGCGTTTTGAAAACGTTCCGTTTCTAGTGTGAAAACCGAGGCTTTTGGAAATGGTGATGAAAAAAGCGTCATATGCTGTCGCTTCCATCAGCGTTTTCAGGCGTTTTTAGTATGGACGATAGCGGAAAACGCATCAAACCGTCTCCGTTTTCGAATGAAAAAGCATCAGTGTGGACAGGTGAAAACAAAACGAAAACGCTAGTGTGGGCCAAAATATTTTGCTTCATTTTGGTTGAGAAGAAAACAGATACTTTCAAAACTCACTATTATGGTCGTGGCCTGACGTTGTTTGTTCTTTTGTAAGGTTACGCAAACCTCCAAGCCAACTGCCATTCACTGCTGAGATGCTAGTCACCACTCAGACTGAAGCGGCAGCCAGTCCCAGATCCGACAGTACACTATCAGCGCCACACTCGACACAAAATTCTCCAAAGCCTGCAAGGTAAGTACCGGCTAGGAACAATTTCGAGTTGATAGTTGATTTTGTCCTCTGAGACCACACTAGCTATTTATTCACTTATTTATTTACTATATAAGGTTTCTAAAATAGTATTGAAAGGCTAGATTAGTTTTGTATATAAATTAGAGTTGTTGATGTCAATGTGGGTTTTTACCTTTTTTAGGGCTGTTAGTACAATTTTTTTTTTNGGAAGCCGGATTGAGCAGTCCGGGTTCGAGTCGTAGCCAGGGTTATTGCATTGCGTTCTTGGGCAAGACACTTTTCTCTCACAGTGCCTCTCTCCACCCAGGTGTATAAATTGGTACCGGATAACCCTGCGATGGACTAGCATCGCATCCAGGGACGGGGGGAGTAGAAATACTCCTAGTCGCTTCATGCTGCAGAAACCGGGATAAGCTCCAGCTGTATGGACCACTGGCCTGATGCAGACTTTGCCTTAGTATAGTTTTTATTGTTTCAGGAGTAATTTAATAAATTGACGCGTTGAAGTTAGTTGCATAACAACTTTCCCAATAAAAGCTGAAGGCTTACAGGACGCTTGAATAACTTACGCGAGAATTACCTAACCTCCCTAAAGTAAACACCACCTCCCGGATAAGGATGATTTTTGCAGCCAGTGCAACTCAAATTAGTGGCTATGGAATAAAGTGAATATAAGGTTTCCAACCGGAGAAAGCATAAACGTCGTTATGCAACTACTTCCGTGAAAAGAGCTTCTTAATGAGCGCCTTTACAATATGCTTCCAGAGTACATTTACTTACGCTGCACAGATGTACACAAAGTCTGACTAGAGGAAAATAGATGAAAATTGTCGTCTCTGTTAAGCACAAATTAAAGGACTGTTCTTTTGAACAATAAAATACAATAGTACAATACCTTAGGCTGCCTCTCGTATAAACCAGGTCTACATAAGTTGGGACGTATCTACACAATTCAGCACCCAACGTGTTAAATGCTAAGTTCTTCATTTGTGACTTGAGATTTACCCTTCAGTGATTCTGGAAGTCAGTCGAACGAGCCTGCTGCAGTCACAACGACCAGCGTCACTACAGCAGAACCACCAGCTGTCAGTCAATCTGCGCCGGTGTCACCGAACAAAATCAAGAGAGAACCTTCCAGCGAGGCGGCGCCCACGTCGAGCGTAACCACCAGTGCTGTGATGAATGGAAACGCTTCATCGGCCCCTGCTGCGCCTTTGCTTGCCAACGTCACCACGACGAGCAGTGATGCGGCCTCGCCAAGAAAGAAACCACGGAAGCAGAATATGTAAGTGTGTACGTTATGACTCAGATAGCGTTACGTTGTTGTAGAAAATTGAGCCCGCGGTGTTTGTACCAGGTGCTTAGTAACATAACGTGTGCTTTTGTGACAGCTGTCGTCGGTGTACTTCGTGAGCGCTCGGCTAGTCGCGCTGTTTTGTGATTGGATCAGAAGATTCGGAAATCCTAGGACTGCTCAAGCGACGGTTTTCCGCTTGTTCGAATGACTGTTCAGTTCTATTCTGTGGTTCTTTATTGAGAGAAGTTAGAATTAGTTTAATCTTTGAGAAGAAGAAAGAGAGACAATTTGTTCGGCGTTTTGTTTCTCTTCTGTTCCAAAGACTGTAAAAAAGTGCATGTACTGAACCGTTACTCTATCTAATTTTATAAACTCTACTCAAACATTGAAAGCAATATTTTCACGATTTGATTTTGCGTTGCGACAAGACTTACGTCAAATTTTAAGGGAACCTCATAAAACGTAAAAACACGAGCGTCGCATTTTAATTCTGACCATTACCATCCTCGCGAACGTTACCCGTTGTCACTTCTTGATGGGTTTGTCTCATCTATGGAGCTTTCCCCTACAAAATCAAAGCATTATTGTTGGTTTTTTTATAATCTTGGTACGATTTTTAACTTCTCGTAAATCTTGGATGCTCCTGTTTTCAGGGTCGCCACAGAAGACAAGTATGGCAGTAATGTCAACATGGAACCCGATTCGCCGACAGACGAAGATAAGAAAGCGAAACAAGATGAAGGTAAAATAATTTACTTCCTGACCTAATCACTCCGTGCTCAAATTCATCAACATTGTACTTTCCAGTTCCTGATAAACTCTATGTATGGTCGTGATTCCCCCAATCAAAATGATCTAATTTGCAATGGCGTCATTACTTTCAACAAAATGCGCCGACTTACATTACACAGAACCTTGACACGGTTAACGCTGTTTTGATTCCTAAGAGTTTTGCGTTCTTGCCCTTTTGGACAAAATTTTATCCTTGTCAAATAATTCTTTGCACTGAATGCTTTAAGTGAATATTTCTCATTTTGTTTCTAACAGCAGACGAGGATTTGAAGTTCATATTACGGAAAAGACCGAAGATCTCCATCGTTGCTAACTACAAGATAAATACAAAGGCGGCTCATAATCATTTCCAGCGGTATTCTGATGTCAAGGTCAAAGGTCAGGGGCAGCTAAGTACAATTTACACTTTAGAGACCGTTACGTAAGAGTAAAGAAATGCCGTCACGAGTTTTTTTCTCGCTTTAGTTCAGACGCAAAGCGCCCAACGATACGCCCCATTTCCCCTTACTCCCGCCCTTCCCTCACTACCCCCTCTCCCTTCACTTTCTCCCGAAATAAGTCCCAAAAATTGCCTTTTAGCAAAAGTTACCCCAGGGAATTTTTACTCCGTTTGATATCTGAATTTACGGTTTGTATTTGTTGTTCTTCAGAGGAGAGAAAGCCCTCAATACAAGAGATAGCCAGTCAGAAGGGAATTGTACAGAGAGCAAACGGCTGGCGGGTCCAACACATTGCCGGGCAAGTGGATGAGCTGGTAAGAGGGAAACTGGGTCGAGAATCTCCTTTGGGCCATTGAAACTTTAACCTAACCTTACATTTTTACACTTTTCAGATCTCTGCTGAACAAGAAGTGCTGAAAAAGATGGGAGAACTCAGAGAGAAAATCCCGAAGGTTAAACCTGGACAGAAAACAAAATTCCAGGATGATTTAGTGATGTTAAACGAACTTCTTCAGGTGAGGATTTCAAACACTGGAACGGTCCGTCAATTTTAAACCGGAAGTCAATTGAGCTTCGAACACCGGAAGTTGTCCCCCAACATCTGTTCATTTGAGCTCAGTTATTCATAATCGTTTCAATATTCTTGATCTTGTGAAGAAAATTGTTTTTCTTTTTTTTTTTTACAGGGTAATATTCAAAGATCACAGCTGGTTGTTGAGCAGCTTGGAGACTCAAGAAAATCTATGGTCAAAGTAAGAAGAAACGTCTTTACTTTCCTGAGTATCATTTCTGTTGTTTATCGTGCTATTTCTAATGCCATCAGCGGGGAAGGATTAGATAAGGATGTTTCAGAAGTTCAGTCCTAAATCGACGGTATTGAACATATCAGAGAAAACAACGTATCTAATTGGTTGTTTTTTGCGCGGGATTATTCAAAACTCAGCAACAACCAATCACAGACACGACGAGAATTACCTCATCAGAACGGAATGTTTGACTCGTTCCCAGACTTTCGAGCGCAGAAATTTTTTTTGAGCGCGCGAGAAGAGACACTGTCTAGAATACTGTTGATTACCGTTCATAAATGAAGACTTGGTCTCGAAACTACAGTGGAACCCTGTTAATCCGGTCACCAACGGGCCACAAAAATCTGGCCGCATTAACGGGGTGGCTATATTAAAGGGGTTCTGTAAATAGAAAAAAAA